TATGCTTATACAAAATCTATGATATGCCTGCGCCGAATCACAACCGCCCGTTTCCAAGAGGTTCATTAAACTTAATGCACATTTTGTACAAAGGCGGATTTAATACCATGGGACATTCTCACCCAGTCGATCGGTGATGAGGACCAGAAATATGATACGGTATATGCGAAGATAAAATATTAAGGTTGTCTTAGTTCATAGTTTGGTTAATAAGAGATATAATACTTTTTGCATTGAGTCGAAATCGAATACAATAACTCATTTGATTTTTTTATATAAAGGGGCAAACGAACAGACAGACACCTGAATGTGATAACCACCCCAACCGCATGTTACAAGTGCGTCATGCTGTGAGTCCTTCTCCTTACAACCAGGAGGACCACTCGGTGAAAAACAATGAAAGAATTGGTTAACACCAGTCTTCTGTGAAATCACTCCGGTCGAGGCTGCCCATTTGTGTCCAAGAATGGCTCTCCCACGGTTGAAATTCCTCGACGTCGATTTCAGCTCAGTGTAAATGTTACGTGTAGATTTGTCCGTATGGTAAGACCAAGAATACCTAGTCTCACCACCCCTATTCATCCCGTGGGTGTCGTAAGAGCCGACTAAAAGAGCAAACTACGCAGAAGAACAGCACCGCATAGAGAAGAAAACTTGTAACAAACTCTATACCAACTTGGTATAGTAGGTCAAAACCTCTTTTCTAAGGAGAGACCTATGTCCAGCAGTGGACTATTAAAGGCTGTTGATGATGACGCATGATGTAGATATTCTAAAATGGTTATCAAAGTGTTGATCTTATCTGTATTGTCTATGGTGATACATTGGTATCACCGTGGATACCAATGTAAAAAACATCCAGAGAAGTCACAATAGTTTATAAAGGTACATACGTACCAAATAGAAAATATTTTAATGCCTATGATCAATTTATTTTAATAACCGCCCGAATTAGGTATTGTGGAACCATAGAAATCGTAATAATAAAACACTAGAATTCGCATAGACGCTTGACCTTATTTTTTTTTATCTATTCGTGTTTTTTAAATTTTCTTTTATAAAAACCTTGTCCTTACTATAAGGAACACAAAAGAAAACAGAATACTCCGATTTGGTGCAGTCGTTCAGAAGTTATGCGCGTACATACATTTCTTCGATTTATTTTATTTATATACCTAGATTATTACGATGTCTGTGGGTCACACTTGCAACATCAATTTTGAGTTTAGTGTTTTTATTTAATTATCATCGCATTTTATACTAATAAATGAGGTTTTGTTAATGTCACTTGTTAGGGTTGGCTAGATTTGAATAAAAATTGGAATACCGTACCTTACCTTGACAAAAACCTACTATCGAAATTAGTCTATACGGAATATGTTTATCATCTTTATACGATGCTTACATATAAGTATAAGAGGGCGATGCACCGCTGCACCGTTCAGAAATGCCTAAATAAGATTTAGTCTAAAATTAAGCGCTACAATATCTATTTAATAAAAGTTTTTTACTTTATCTACCTATAGCTTTTATTTTGTGAGGAGTTCATACAGAGGCATAGCTGGGCGTGGGCGAAGTGGGCCGTCACCCACGGCCTCGCGTTTGGCTGGGCCTAGCGAGACTCCTTTAATCCAGTCTTTCGCACAGATGACTAATTAATTTGATCACATTTACATTCAAAGTGTGTTTGTTTCGGACCTCCCAAGAAGCCTCATCTTCAGTGCGACTGCGAGGCTATTCAAATTCAAATTATCTTAATTTGATAAAAATATTAAAATTGTTTGCAATCGTCTTTTATGCAGACTCTAAAGTCGTAGATCAAAACACACAATAGCAACAATCTTTGTTTTATCAAATAGGTAGGATTCTTTAAAAATAAAATTATGCTTATACAAAATCTATGATATGCCTGTGCCGATCCACAACTGCCCGTATCCAAGGGGTGAGCCTTATGAGAAGAAAGGGCAAAGAAACTCATGGCCACTCTTTTGCCATGTTTGATACAATTGCTGGTGGTGACAAAACTCACCTGATTCGATCCAGCAGGACCTACCCGCGCGGGGTATTTCTCTTGCGCATGGTGGTCGGAGGCCCAGATGGACGCGCATTGCTGGCATTGCCGTCTACTCAAGTCCGATCGAATTCAGGTACTCACCGAAGCAACCATGCCCGAGGAGTACGTGCATGAACTGGTAGCTGACGTGACCTGCGTCCCCACTTACCCACTCATCGCAGTTACGCAGAACGGCACCATAAAACGCGTTGGCGCACAATTCAAGCTGGTCCAGCGCGCCCCTTTGCATCAGTGCCTGTGGATGAATGCTTCGCCGCATTTCGAGCTCGTCCTGAACCTCCCCGTCGCCGGATCGCACGAGTCTGGTCATAGACCCTCGTGTCTGTATTCGCCAAGATATCCAAAGGCACCAAACGTGCCAGGACTGTCACCGCCTCCGAGAAGATTGTACGGTATTCTCATACGATCAGAATATTCGCAACCAGCTGCGCTTGATTGAGCTGAGTTTGGCAGCGGTAGAAAGCCGCTAGGCGCTGAGCCAATATCGGCGCTCCGTAGAAGGCCATCGTATCACCGCACAGTATAGGCGGCAATATTCCTCCCGCGGATCCCCTAGTTTAGCAGCAGCCTCTGTAGCGAGCCCGCCACCCGAGTCCTCGGGGGTATTATCAGCTCAAAATGCATCTCGAAGCTCTAGCGACAGTCCAGAGTGAGGCCAAAGTACTTGATATGCCGTTTGACCTCTACCTCTGTTTACTCCACGCTAATGAGCGAGCGAGTAAGAGCTGCATCTCAGGCCGCAACCGTTGGCCCAGACCGCTGATCTTTTGGACGACACAAGCTACCATCTACTCGGCCAGCTCCGAGGATTCTTCACCAGGACCAAGAGGTCCTAGAACCGACGCCTCGGGACCTAAAATCTTGGCAAATTACGTGTTTTTTAAGCATTGTAACGATTTAGGTGTCGTACTTCAAGATGGAGAATGCAAAGACATAGAGTCTGGTCATAGATTGGCGCGTTTTGCGCGGTAGTATTTGACGCATCTGAAGGAAAAAAAGTAAAGTACAGAAAGAAGCAAAAATGTATTACAAGTCTTTACCAGTAAAGCAAAAGCCGAAAAAATTAAAATCAAAAAAGAAATTAAAATCACGTAAGTTACAAATTAAACCTTTTTTTTTGAAACTATATGCTTTCAAATATTCCGCCAAATGCCAAATGTCGTATCAATACATGTTTGGTAAAATAGATGTACCTACCTATTCGGCACCTATGTCTTGGGAACGAAAGAGAAGGGGTCTCGCTGATGTGACTTCGCCCACACTATGTTAGACGCTACGACTCTGCGTTCATACATAAAGGAAAATAAAATAGACTTAACTAACATAAATATCAGTTACAAGGTTCGATATTGTTCGGTATTGATAGCTAGTTCTAGTAACACGAATGAGATCCTAACCTACTTGTTTCAGCCCAGGATCGCTATGGGAATGAAGCGCAAATTAAACTTTACTGAATTTGTCACTAGGTCAGGTGTACAGAAAAGAGACAATATTATTTAACCTCGGGCGGTAAAGAACGTGGTGAGATTTACAAAAAATGTACAACACCATCTATCGAGCTATAGGTTAAACTTATTAATGCATCAACTCTACTCGAGCCATTGCTTACATTTTCCAATCCCTCCATAGAAGCACTATCGTTTTCTTACCATTGCCTTGCCTTATTCACCTTTACTCTCAGTATACTTCCAAATTTCCTATCTAACCCCTTAAGTGACCAGCTTACGGCAGTGGGGTTGCGACCAATTATGGAGGTTTGCAGTGCAGACAGTTGATTTATTTCTATTCGAATTGTAGCCGCCTTCTTACTTACAAAGGAAAGGGTAAGGAAAATGCTATGAAGGGCTAAGGAAGGGAAAAAAAGCGGAGTACAAACTTATAATAGTGTCATCTATGGAAATCAGTGAGAACAATGTATACACAGTTCATAATTTGTTTATTCAAAAGGCCGGATGATGGCGCAGTAGTCTTGTTCATAGCATAATGTCGTACGGTATTCTACTGTGGGGCACATTATAATTTAGACAATCGTTGCTCATTGAGGCAGAAATGTAAAGAAATAGAAATAATGACAGTGGCAAGTCAATATATTTATGAAAATGTAATACATGTTCATAAAAACAAAGATAGCTTTTTGAAAAGAAGTGTTGTACCTACATTCTGTGAATACTAGAAATAGAAATAAACTTGTAGTACCCGCCTTAAAGAAGTCTTTTTAAGGTCAACGTGTCCGATTTTATGATAAAATCCCAAATATAAAACGTGGCTTGTGTCAGAAAGCCTATAACTCAATTGTGGATTACATAGAAGACAAAAATGATTGGTATTAGGTAATTAGCGCAGGCTATTTCATAATTAAAAATTTTGTGTAGGCTAGTGTGTTTTGTATTATTATTAATTTGCTATTTTTTATGTTTCACTTCAATTTCACTTTTTTTTTCCTTTTATTGATTATTGTATTAATAACTGTATTTCATCACACACGGGTTAGTTCTAAAAGATATCTAAGATTGAAAAGAGACAGGCTTGAAAACAAAAACAAAATAAACCTCAAGAATCTAAGTCTACATAAATTTGTGAAAGGGAGTATTTACATGACTGAACCATTTAGTTTTGGATTACTGATCAGTACTCTCGAAACTTAAATCCCTTGGAAAGCCATGCTTCGGCACATTCGGACCGGATCGATCGGAGTGATAGCATGGCCTCACAGAAAAACGATGTTAGGCAATTCTTTTGTTACTGTTCACCTAGTCAGAATGTTACCAGTGGTCTCACTCTCTTGACTCTTCCTTCAAAAGCGGCACTTCTGCCTCTTGAGTTGAGGCAGTCAGTTACAAACTCGACTGTATCTTAAGGAGCTTCAAGACTCGACACTAACAGTTCAATAAATACACCATGAATATCCAAAACTATTTATTAACAACTACGTAAGGGTATCCTCGGACCGTATGTACTCTCCCACATCGGCTTGGTGGAACACAATAGTGGCTAGAGGGTCAGCGTGTCTACATTCAGCTGTTGTGCGAGCGGCCACACCGAACCCAATAGGAATGTCTGACATTGTGTATACAACTACTCCATGGTGTTTTGGTGTGTTCTCCGTTATGCGGCCGAGACCTGAAAATATAAAAAAAATATATAATTAAGTCAGTCGCAAAAATATTAGGTTGTTAAGTACTATAATCTTCATTTGAATGACTGATTGCACGTATGACGTAGTGGTTTAAGCGGTCGCCACTCCGCTTCCTACTACGTCGAGTGTTGTGGGTTCAAACCCCACATGGGACGACACTTTGTGTGATCCACAAATTGTTGTTCTGAGTCTGGGTGTTCTTTGTGTCCCTTTCATGTATGTTTGTAAAGTCCCCCGCGACACAGGATATATTCCTAATGCGGGAGTTGTCTTTTTAAAAAGAAAAAAAAAAAAAAATTCATTCTATCTCTCACTCTTATTCATACCGTGGGTGTCGTAAGAGCCGACTAAGAGGGCAAACTATGCATGACAACGGCACTCCAAAGAGAAGGAAAACATGAAACAAACCCTATACCAACCCGTCTGGCCAGCATGGTATAGTAGGCCAAAACCTCCTTTCTAAAGAGAGGCCTATGTCCAGCAGTGGACTATTAAGGCTGTTGATGATGATGATTGATAAAGTGCTTTGGGTACGCTCCCCATATGGGACGACACTTTGTGTGATCCACAAATTGTTGTTATGAGTCTGGGTTTTCTTTGTGCCAGTTTCATGTATGACTGTAAAATCTGGGACTTTACAGTCATAGTAGCAACACTATTCAAAGCACTTAGTGCAGTTAAAAGCGGCGAATTGAACGCTTAAACCACAGTGCAGTCACTTATATAGATAAGTGACTGCACTGTGGTTTAAGCGGTTTAAGGGATAGCCCTGCCTATTAGCATTGAACAGGAATCAAACCTTCAATATCAATAATTATAATAGGTAATTCAACTTACCACTCTTGATTATATGATGACCATATAAGAACTGCTGTTCAGCAGATGGCTTTACCCATATTTTATATGGGGCATAAGGAGCTATATAAGTAAGTGCCGTTATGTGCAGTCTGAATTTATTTGTTTTTGTGAATTTTCCAAAACATGTGCCTGCAGCAATTAAATGGTCCGGTTTCAATGTTTGTGCCAAGTGCAAAAGTCGTTCTGAAATGTAATACACGCGGTCTTTCTTTTCTCTAAAGCAATATGTGCCATCTGGTCTGTCAATTAATAGTTTTACGTTGACGCCAATACTGTAAATCATCAAAAGAAACACTTTTTAGTAAATATTACAACCATGCATTTCACTTTACATCAACGAATATCGAGTGACACCACGAAACGAAGGTTTATTGCGTGTAGAGTAAAACAACATTTTCTTTACTTTACATTCACACATTTACAGTCAGTTAGCAATAAAAGAAGAGGTTATAACAATATTTCACACACATTGTACAACACTTGTTTACAGTTCAAAATGTTACAATTAATACATTGTTTTGAATAAAAAAACTATAACTGTACTTACTATTTCGTCAATTTCTCAAATAAAATACGCGTTCTATCTTCTGATAATACTTTCATTTTGAATTACAATTATTTTAATTATTAAAAACACAAACACGTGCGACTCCCGCTGTAGTATTTTCACTCACAGTCACATTTGACTGACAATACAATGACAGAACACTAGTTTCGTTCAAAAAAGCAAGTTCGTAGTTGGAAGTTGATTAAAGTGTATTTTCAGAACAGAATGCACTTTTCTTTTCTCTTTGTTCTTACTCCAGTTTTTTTTTTAGATATTTGTAAGTATATAAATGTGTACTTTTATGATTTTTAAATATAAAACGAAATTTAATAATTAAATGTTTTTCCACATTTCTGGACGAAAAATGAAAAATTACACAACCATTCATGAATGTATTTTTGAAGTTCGTTCGTACTCGTTCAAAAATCAAATTCATTCATAAATCGTTCAATAGTGTCCGGTCTGGAGAGTGAGAGGAGGTAAGTTTGTTTTGCGAATTTTTTTCTCATTTGTGATGGTGACGATTATTTACTAAACGTGTCCTTCAAATTACTTCAAAAAGGATAAACTAAAATTATTTTTGCTCTTGAACAAATTAGTCATTAGATCAATTAAAACAGATGGTTCATTCTTTTGTTTCGACCCTGAAATAAACAAGTTCGGTGCACGCTGCACGTGATGACAACAAAACTAAAGTAACCCAACGTAATATTATATTAAAGTTTAGTGTCAATGTGAAAAAGAAACTTAGATGTGGTAAATACTTTCCTCAATGTTATTGTTTATCACTATATAAATCAATTATTTTTGATATTAGCGAGGTTCGTAATTTTGAAGTAATAATAAAATTAGCCGAAATTGTACAATAAAAATTATTTTGAATTGAAGATAATTTAATAGATATTAATTACGAGGTTTTCTCTTATTTTTTAATATTCCCCTTTATAAAATTTCTTAAATTTAAAAATACTCTCTAAACATACCTATACATATAACATACATTGAGTTTATTATGAAAAAAAGTGTTGCATAAAGTTTTTCATCTGTGCTCAACTTATTATCCTTATCAGAATCTTATCTGTAACTGCACTAAACATGTTTTGCGCTTATTAAACGAATTTATACCCTGACCCAATTACAATAAAGAATGTTTTCGAGGTGACACTCGCTGACATACATCACTTTAATTGTAATTCATTTATGAAATCAAATTTTACTGTCCCTAAATAAAATTTACCTGACCAACGTTGCGTAGTCTTCCGGTTAGAGTGGTGGTTGCACAGTTTTAGTCAACTGGCTTTAGGCTTCAATTAATTTTCTTCTTCTCAGTCGCAATACGTCTACAGCTGAACATAGGCCTCTCTCCAAGTATTGCCACAACAACCGCTCCTGTGCTGCCCTCGGCCAAGACCGATTGTTGTGGCATCCAATGGTTTCCCGCGGCCTTCATCTGATCCTTTATATTCGTCTTAGTAATACTTTATTAATTTACTATGAAAATACCTTTTATGACATTTGTGAGATCAAGAGTAGATCGCAACTGAATTTTGACCGAATTTTTATTACGAGAATTGGCCCTCAGGTCGTCGGACCACCGTATTGTATGAATATCTTTACTAAATAATATTTTAACAAGTTGCTGGATTGATAATAAGAAATGCATCATCGCACCGACTTCACGGCTATTGTCAGAGTGCGAGTCTAATTGAAATGTATATTACATTCACAACGCAGCACTAAATTGTGTACAATGTATGCATCTAGTGTATGCGAGGGAGCACACGGAAGCTGTTTATCAAGGCTTATGTTGAACGGTAATGGGAAACAATTTAAGAATAATTTAACCGTGGGAGAGTCTTGGTTCGCCACAAATGGGCCGGCTCGACCGGGATGATACCACAGCCTCACACAAAACCGGTGTTAAACCGTTTTTTCGTTGCTTTTCACCGTGTGATTGAGGTTACCGGATTCCACACTCCTCCCCAACCATGGCGTCATAAATACGTCATAAATACGCCCTGCCTTTATGAATCAGTCCGGCATTAAAGCAAAAAGCCACGATCTTTGAGTCATTTATTTATGCATCCAAGCGAATCGTTTATACAATTTCCGCATGACCAGTGCAAACATACTTCCAGTTTGCTCTAGTAACGTAGTCAAAACATAATTTAAAATTATTTATATTCTTTTTTTATGTATATCTTTATTGTATACACTCAAAATATAACAGAGGATAAGTTACAAATAACTAGACGTAACAATCGGCGGTCTCAACGCTCACGGCGATCTCTTCCAGACGATCTTAACTCGGATTTTAGGTATTAATAATTAAGGGTATGTTAAATATTAAAAAACTGTCTCATGGCTCTTTTTGACATTGATAAATATTTTGACTTTAAAGGTTTTTTGTCAAAAAACTTGGCGATTAATACATAACTGACAAAATTGTGACAATTTCGTCATTAAACAAAATATTTCCCTTCCCTCAGAGCAAAACTGACCTTTAACGTAAAATTACATGTGGTGGAGAACCAACTTTACAATTTTTTTGTGCAAAAGTGTGATTTTAGTGATTAAGCCGGTATAATACTCATACTAATAGTAAGTTAGTTATGGCGCACGGATGGCGTAGTGGCTTAAGAGGTCGCCACGCCGCTTCCTACTACGCTGAGATGTTGTGGATTCGATCCCCACATGGGGCGACACTTTGTGTGAACCACAAATTGTTGTTCTGAGTCTGGTGGTGTCCTTTGTGTCCGTTTCATGTACGAGTATGTTTGTAATGCGAGAGTTGTCTTTAAAAAAGAAGTTACACATTTCTTGTAATCAAAAAAGTTTGATATTACGTTTAGTGTATTATTACACACATTAATAGTACAATTTTGTACTAAAGTTACCTCATATTTAATTCAATGGATTAAAGCAACAGTCACACTTTTCGTTTAGTCTCAATTTGGCTTAACCCTATAGAAATTGTTCGTTACAACTTAATGTCATTAAGTAGTAATTAATGTTTTTGGAACGAAGTTCCTTATCGCGCGTTGTGAAAGGGGGCTAGACGGAAAAAATTCGTACGAAAATTAGTCACGACACTTTTAATATAAATTGACGTCTAACTGTGGATACCATACATTTAATTTGCTTTAACGTTCGCCAACGTCCATACCATGTTGAATACCGGTTCTCGTCCGATCACCGAAGTTAAGCAACATCGGGCGTGGTTAGTACTTGGATGGGTGACCGCCTGGGAATACCACGTGATGTTGGCTTTTTGCTCTTTATTTTCGTGTCATCTTGTCAGACATTCAGCGCCATCTATCGAATAGATAGGAAATCATTTCGCAAGGAGATTTTACAAATGTATAAATTGTTTTAATTGTTTTTAATATGTAGGTAATAGCCGCTTTCATAGATGGCGTTGTAATTAAAATCGTGTCAAATCAGTTTTACTCGATCGTCACAACTTCGTTCCTATCGGGTGTCCCACGACACCACACGGCTTTTTTAGATGTTATTGTTTTATCAGAAAAATATAAATAGGATGATGATTGACGATGTCATGACATCATTGAGTTCTCTTTCATCTAAATCTACAGCTTCTATAGCATCGGCAGGAGCAGGATCTTTCCCCGGATGGTGCTGTTGCGTAAAGGTATAATAATGTGATATAATAAAAAAAAAAATGATAGGAAAATATTACTAACGAGGTGCGTAATTCAGGAAAATAATACGTTAAACTATCCAAAACCGAGAAATTTATTGCTGAAAGACGCTTGAGTCCTTCTTGTGCAGAACGATGTCGTCGAAGATGTTTTTGGATTTTTTTCAGTAACCTTCAATATTGTTTGCGTTAGTAATTTTATTATTTTAGATTTAAATTTTAGCAAGATTAAAATTGTGTATCGAAACAAAACTGGTCTCATTTTTGTTTTGTGAGAATTCCTGTAAATTATTTTTGTAGAAAGTATTTTTTTTTACTTATATTCCTACATGAAAAAGTATTTTTTGGCTCTCCAATAAAGTTGCATTTTTTGGATAGTGTCAGTATTGAATTAGGGGTTCGATTTGTTCTGTGTGTGTATGGGTGCAACTTATCTATAATAGATATATATTAGATAAGATATATATTTAGAAATATATAAGTAGGTTTATAAGCAGTCTGGTTACCATAAAACAGGCTCTGCCTAATTTGGCATCGGCATCGGCATCGTCATATGTGAGATATGTGGGGTTATTATTATTAGTTATATTATGTACATGAAAGATACTAAATATTCTTCCACCTGAACTGTTTGGCTGAATATTAAAACTATGTATTTCCTTATAGGTACGTCAGTTGAATCATCACTTGTTTTTATAAACAGTAGTAAAAAAAATAACATTACCTAACACTTCCTTAAAGAACTTTTTCCACAATAGTCATTTTTTTCCTTAAACGTGATTAAATGACTTCTTCAATATTTTTGATTCTAGATCTAACTCGCTTTTTTCCTCGTTATTAAGAAGGATTTAAATGGATATATGAATAAAAGCACCTTCTTAAAAAATAAAAAATACCCTTTCATCCTAGTAACAAATTAGATATGGGTAGGTATGGTATATACCCTTTAAAATAATCCAAACGAGCTCAACGAGGAGTTTACTAAAAAACATTAAAGATTTCCACTTTCTCTTCCTATAACCACCACTTTCACCATCTTCCCGTGGGTGTCGTAAGAGGCGACTAAGGGAGCAGACTACGCAGGACAACAGCACTGCAGAGAGAAGGAAAACTTGACACAAACCCTATACCAACCCGTCTGGCCAGCGTGGTATAGTATTCCAAAACCTCCTTTCTAAGGAGAGGCCTATGTCCAGCAGTGGACTATTATAGGCTGTTGATGATGATGACGATGATAAAATATTTCAAATTACATAGAGGTTTGAAATAATGAGAGGTTCGCAATCATATCAAACATTGACTACAGAGCGTGCCAACGAAATACATCCATACATACTTACAGTCGAAAAACAATCCTCTTTCGTGCGTAGTCGAGTAATAAGTTTTTAAGATAAT